GAGGCTGCTTCAGATTCTGTGTCTCCCTCTCTATCTGACCCTCCCCTGCTCACACTCTCTCTCTCTCAGAAATACATTTAAAAAATAAATAAAAACCAGAAAATCAAAATGCTCATTACTTCTGTTAACCAGGAAAAAGATAACTGTAAAGAAACCATTTTCAAATGTTTAATTGTGACATCAACTAATTGAGTGCAATGCTGTCTGCATAATGGAAAAGCAGGCCAGACATTCAACAAGAAAAAGGTCTGGGAGTTTCCCACGTGTCATTTCATTACCTGACAAATTACCAGAACACACACGTACGTAGGGGGAAAAACACAGAGTGAAGCATCATTCCTTACACAATCTACGTCTTTATCTGGTGCTTACCCGACACGTCCTTAAGTATTCCTGAAACAAACGAGGAAATTACCTCCACGGTAACTCAAGATCTCAGACCAATGATTGTGAAAACAGGCCATCATCAACTATTAGACACTTAGAAGCATGGCTAACTTCCTTCCATTCAAACAGAAGAAACAGGCGTGCCTGGGTGGCTGAGTCAGTTAAGCGTCCGGCTTCAGCTCAGGTCATGATCTCACGGTTCGCGCGTTCAAGCCCCGCGTCAGGCTCTGTGCTGACAGCTCGGGGCCTGAAGCCTGTTTCAGGTTCTGTGTCTCCCTCTCTCTCTCTCTGACCCTCCCTTGCTCATGCTGCCTCTCTCTCAGAAATAAAAAAATATTAAAAAAATAATAATAATAAAACACAAAAAATACCAAGTATACCCAGTCCTGGTACTTGTGAAGGCAAATTAGGTATTTTCCCCCCCATCTTTCCTAAACTCTAGATTCCATGAATCACAGCAAGGTAATCAGGACAAAGACACACCTGGAAGAAGGCCCCAACCGAACCAGTATTTTCTCCGCACTCTGGGTCTGGAACACCGCTATAGACAGGCACACAGGGAACACAGGAGGGAAGATTCCGGGCCTGCCCTAGGGGACCGCACAGGGAGACCCGGCACAAAAAACAAGGCAAACTGTAATCGCCCTTGCTGGTGAAAAGTCAGCTCAGAGCCTGGAGCCTTTCTCGGATTCTGTGTCTCCCTCTCTCTCTGACCCTCCCCTGCTCACACTGTCTCTCTCTCTCTCCCTCTCTCTCCCAGAAATAAATAAAACATTAAAAAAAAGAAATATTTTTAAAAAATGAGGTATTTTTGAAACTTTCTTAGATAGAATATTAAAACAAAAGAGGTCAGTTGTGGGTGCACCTGAGTGGCTCGGTGGGTTCAGCATCCAACTTCACTTCAGCTCAGGATCTCCCGGTTCGTGAGTGTGGAGCCTGCTTGGGATTCTCTCCCTCTCTCCCCTCCCCTGCTCACATTCTCTCAAAATTAATAAACTTTTTTTTAAAAAATTTTTTATGTTTTCTTTATTTCTGAAAGAGAGACAGAGCACGAACGGGGAGGGTCAGAGAGAGAGGGAGATACAGAATCTGAAACAGGCTCTGGGCTCTGAGCTGTCAGCACAGAGCCTGACGCGTGGCTCGAACCATGTGATCATGACCTGAGCCAAAGTCAGACACTTAACCGACTGAGCCACCCAGGTGCCCCTCAAAATTAATAAACTTCCTAAAAAAAAAAAAAAAAACAAGGGTCAACTGGTTTTTGCATGTGACCCTAAAATTTTGAAGTTTGAAAAACTATCAACACACAAGGAAAGCATCAAATTTCTGCAAGCTGGATTATCCAGAAGTTCTTTTTTCCAAATCGGCTTTAAAATGGTCTTTGCGGGGCGCCTGGGTGGCTCAGTCAGTTAAGCGTCTGACTTCAGCTCAGGTGAAGATCTCACAGTTCGTGGGTTCGAGCCCCGTGTCGGGCTCTGTGCTGACAGCTCAGAGCCTGGAGCTGCTTCAGATGCTGTGTCTCCCTCTCTCTCTGCCCCTCCCCTGCTCACACTCTCTCTCTCTCAGAAATAAAATACGACATAAAAAAAAACAGTAAAAAATAATAATAAATAAAATAGCCTTTTCATTCCTACACTATCATCCTTTTTTTTTTTTAGGTTTGTTTATTTTGAGAGCGAATGAGCAAGCACAAGCGAGGGGGGACAGAGAAGAGGATCCCAAACCAGACTCTGCTGGTGGCACAGTCCGACCCAGGGCTTCAACTCACAAACCGTGAGACCCTAACCTGAGCCAAAACCAAGAGTCAGACATTTCAGTGACTGAGCCACCCAGGGGCCCCTACAGAATCATTTCTACTACTATTCTTATCTTCACCAACTTTGCTTTTCTTCTCACTTACCTCCCGAACTAAGGTTCTCACAAATCTCATTTATCAAAGAACCACTACAGCGTTTGTTAAATCCCACCCCTGCCCCAGTAATTCCCTAATAAGCTCGCAATTATGCCCATTTCCCCACTAGGTGGTGTCCTGAGCAAACCAGACTTACAACGTAGTCCTCTACCAATAAATTTTACAACCGTTTCCAAGACAGTGAAAAGGCAAAATAAGGCTTTTTAAGTATCCTGTTAAAATATCAACTTACAAATATAAAGCCTGATTCCATTAACCTAACCCACATCAGAAATGGCACGTAACCGGCCTTAACCATGACAGCAGCTGGCATGGCTGAAGGCAGTCCCACCACTGTACCCTCAGTGGAAAGTAACAGGGACATCACCAAGGTGACACAGTGAGCATTACACTGCAACCCTGAGAAACTGAGACTAAAATAATTTACGAGGGCACGTGGGCAGCTCAGTCAGTTCAGCATCTGACTTTGGATCAGGTCATGATCTCATGGTTTGGGAGTTGGAGCCTCGCATCAGGCTCTGTGCTGACAGCTCAGAGCATGGAGCTGCTTCAGATTCTGTGTCTCCCTCTCCCTGCCTCTCCCCCACTCCATCCCACTCTCTCAAAAATAAACGTTAAAAAAATTTTTTAATAAAAAATAACTTACCAAGTGTTAACGTGCCCTTTTTAAAACTAAAAAATATGCATACATCATCCCACCTCAAACCTGATTTCTGAGTCTGCTACGATGAAAACTACTGATGGTGTGGAGTACAACTGTATTTGTTTGAAACTGTCCAAAATAGTTAATACAGCGAAAAATGGGTCTACTCTTAATTCTTATAGCTGTAACAATCATGAGTTTGTTAAAAAAAAGAAAAGCTATTGTAAGCCACTTAATTGCAGGAACAGTGTAATTCCCTATCCACAATTTCGTCTTCAGAATATCACTCAAACGATACTCCCCACCCAGCCCTCCAGGTAAGTCCGACTGGCAGCCGAAAACACCTCTCAAATACACGAGTCAAATCAAGAGAACAAATTTAAAACCTGTTTTTTCCTACAAGGGTGTGAACTCCTCTGGAACTCTCTAAAGGCTCGTTTTTAAATTCCCAATCTCCCCCGCCCTCTACGGCACCAGGTCAAGGCAGTTTAGGCCCCTCTCAAAACCCAACCTCTCAGCTCCCACACCTACCAACCACTCGGCCAAGGCCGTTTACTCCCTGAATTCACAGGCGAATACAAAACATTCCACGGCTCACTGAATGTACATAAAAAGCACGGGTCTTTGTGTTACACGACATACAGATACAGACGTACAAGGTGGGGGGCGGGGGCTCAGTCGTTAAGCATCCGCTCCGGTCGTGATCTCTGGTGTGGGTTCAAGCGCCGCCTCAGGCTCTGTGCGGACTGTGGAGCCCACTGGGATCCTGATCCCCTCTCTCTGCCCCTCCCCTGCTCACAGTCTCTCAAAATAAATAAATAAATAAATAAACAAACATTAAAAAATATACATATGCAAGTACTAACCCCGAAGAAACCGGAGTCTCTTACTGTGAACCGGAGAAGTCCAGATTAAATTTCCCAGGGAAATCCGAGAGGAGCAGTCCGGGGAGGGGCGGGCTGTAAACACGCGGCACTGAAACATTCCTGATACACAGGATTACTAGAGAAAACGATTAAACCTGAAAAACAATCCGCAAACGCGTTCAGAGCAAACGGGTTTCTTTTATTTCCTCGCGTCACTCAAGTGGTCCCTAACTCAAGTCGTACAAACCGCAGGTCGTGACTGGACGGAGCAGCGCTCGGCCCGGCCCACCCACGGGGGCTGCAGCCTCCGGCTTCCAGGGCGGCGCCCCCCACCCTCGGGCGGCGGCGTGACCTTGCCCCGTTTCCCGTCCGCACGTAGGTGACAAAGTGGCGCGCGCGGCCCACGTCCCCGAGCCACGGCACTACCTCACACACAGGTCTGAGACCGTCCCCGCTCGGGCACAAGCGGGTGTGAGCCGCAGCGACACGGACCACGGAGCAGCCTGGGGCCCGCCACGCACGCCGGCTGCTTCGGCCGAAAGGCAGGCATTCTGCTCGTCCACAAAGTTTTGAAAAACCCCAGTGGGAAGTTCCGGGAACGCGGCTTCGCGTCTCCGGGAGCCGCTTCCTGGTCTCCGCGCCCGGCAGCGCCGCCCCCCACGAGGCTCGCTCTCGCTCGCTCGCTCGCTCTCTGCAGACCACCCGGCCTCGGCCTTGGGCTCCTCCACGCGGGGCTGGGAGGGAACAAACCGGCCTTCCGCGCCGCCGGGCCCCGCCGCTGCCGAACTGGACGCACGCGGGGTGACCCCGGCCCCGCGCCGCCCGCCCTCCGCACGGGCCCCGGCCCAACCGCCGGCGCGGGCCGGCCCGGCACGAATGCCACCCCCCGGCTCCCGGGGCCAGGACGCCCCCCACCGGGTCCCCGTGCTCCGCGGCCCGACCCCCGGCCTGACCGACGGCCTGAGTGAGGCCCGACGCCCACCCCCGACCCCCCGGCACCCTCCCGCGGCCCTGGCCTCACGGCCGCTCCGGCTCTACACGGGGCGCCTGACGAGCGCCGCCCCAGCCCGAGGCCCACCTCCCGAAACCCGGGCCCCACAGCAGGCCCCAGGTCCCCGACCCCCTGTCCGACCCCCAAGCCCGGCCTCACGCCGGCCCCGAGGCCCGACCCCCGCCCGCGGGCGACGCTCACCGAGGACAGGGAGCCGGCAGCGGGCAGGAGGCGCGGCGGGGCGGCGGCCCGGGTCCCCTCGGCTCCGGCACTGCAGCGCTGGCGGCGGCGGCGGCGGCGGCGGCGGCGGCTCCTCGCGCTTTCCTTTCTCTCCTTTCTCCGACAACAAACAGGAAGTGCGTCACGCGGCGGCGGCGCGGCGACCTGCACTTCCGCCCGGCCCTGACGCCGCGCATGCGCCCCACCCCGCCCGCCTTCCCGAACGTTCGCGGAGGCCCGGGCGCGGGCGGGAAGGGAGGAGCGGAGCCCGGAGCGGCGCCCCGGAGCCCCCGCCGGTGCCGCCCCGCGCCCCCCGAGCCTGGCGGCGGCGGGTCACGCACCCGCGCCCGTCTTCGTCTCCCCGGGGCCCGCCTGCCGCAGCCACTTCGGCCGCCCGGGGACACGACTCCGTGACCTCCGCTGGTGTAGACCGGTTACTGTAGAAGAAACTGCGGGCGCAGGTGGAGCTCCGAGCGGAAGCGACCCCTTTGTGAGCTCCGCGTGGAAGGGAGCGTGTCCCCCGCCGTCCCGCGCGGCAGGGTGCCCGCGCCCCTCCGGAGCCGCCCCCGACCCCCGCGTCCTGGGCCGCCGCTGGGCGCCTCCCGCGACGCCGGGCCGACACGCGTCGTCCCTTCGGCCGCCTCTCCTGCTAATCCGCCTCCCGGCAGCCGAATTGCCAGGGCAGCTGCAGAACCCACCGGGGCGGGAGGGAGGCCTTTCGCCCCGAGTCCTCCAGATCCTTGGGTAGAAGCCGCTTTTCCTTTGCGGCAGCTGCTTAACCGCCTTCCCTGCAGGCGCCGGTTCTCCCTGCTGCGGGCCGGCCGCTCCGGCGGGAGGAGGACTTCGGGTGGAGGGCAGCCGAGCCCCTGTGAGCGAGAGAACCCCTCCCTCAATTACACGGAAGAATCTAAATTGGGAGCCTTTCGGAGACGCATTTTATCCGAATGACCCATCCGTGTGGCAGGACAAACATTTGCTTGTTCTCACTGCCCTGGAAATTGCACGCCTTGCCTTTGAAGTCCCAGACCTTCTCAGTTCAGGATGACAAACATCCCTCATTTTGCCTGACCTTAGAAGTCCCGAGTCTGAGTGGCTTCCCCGCGTGTGAGCTGTGAACGCTGATTTTTCTCCTGTTCCCCCGTCTCATGCTAATTTGATCCTTAATCCAGTTCCAAGGACTTTGAAGACTGGAATTCTTGCTTCCCTGCAAGGAGACAGCATTCTTGCCTCCTGAAGCTGCTTACAAAGGAAACATTGCATATATTCTTTTGTTTCTTAAACTCTCATTGTATCAGTTACAAGGTAGATTTTAGTAAGTGACCAGTTAGCAAAAGAAAACAAAAAAAAAAATTTCTTTGAGTCAATTTCCTACAAAGTTTCCTTTACTATGGACACTTCATGATAACACTTAAGATAGGCTCGGCAGAGACTGGCTTTTCATTCAGATACAGGCACAGTTTAGCACTGTTCCGTGTAACTGTGTACACCAGCCCGCTGGGGGAGTTTTATTTCCCTTCCAGTGTTGCCGTGCTATCATGTGACATTTCACATTGAAATAAGTCCCTACAGCAAGTGTGAGCTAATCTTGAAACACAGCACATAGACTTGAATTTTAAATAGCAACGGGTAGGCTCGCCACAAATAACTTCTTCATCCTGGCTCCAAAAAAATAAATATTTTTTAAAACGTCTGTCGGCGTAGTGAACTGCATCTACGAGAAAACCAAACGACAAAACGAGTCTCCAGCCCTCACGGGGTCCCCATGGTGACCTGGATGAACATTAAATAAAGGCCCTAAATGGCAATATCTAAGTAACTCTTTTTTTTTAATTTTTTTAATGTTTTTTATTTATTTCTAGGAGAGAGAGAGACAGCGTGAGCAGGGGAGGGTAAGAGAGAGAGGGAGACACAGACTCTGAAACAGGCTCCAGGCTCTGATCCAGCAGTCAGCACAGAGCCCGACGCGGGGCTCGAACCCACGAACCGCGAGATCATGACCTGAGCGAAAGTCGGACGCTCAACCGACTAAGCCACCCAGGCGCCCCTCTAAGTAACTCTTAAAAAGAAAAACGGGGCACCTGGGTGGCTCAGTAGTTTGAGCATCTGGCTCTTGGTTTCCACTCAAGTGAGTTCGAGCCCCAGCTTGGTGCTGACGGGGAAGAATCTGCATGGAATTCTCTCTCTCTCCCTCGGTCTCTCCCTCCTCCACCTCTCACCCCCCTCCCAGTAAATAAACTAAAAAAAAAGTAACCCTCTTAAGTAAACAGAGAAGCTCTTTCAAGATAAGATTGCGGATTTTTTCCAAGATTCATGTAGCCCAGACAGTGGTGCTACCGGAAACGCTAGTGCAGGAGGCAATTCTCTCAAAACGGAACAGCAAGGGTTCACATGGGAGGGACCCAGGCTGCAGTGCAATGAGGGGGCAAAGTGCAGAAGCGCAAAGTGGGCCTGCAGAGTGTGAGCACGTGGCTCAGAGTACAAGCACAGGGGCTTTCGACCGTGAGAATGGGGTGTAATTGCCTGTGCGGAGGGCAAGGACTTGGCTCCTTATCTGCTGGGAAAGAAAGCCGAGCAATGACAAACCTGTGGTTTGCGGCATGGATGGAAGAGGAGGGAGACTCTGACTTTGTTGCCTCATCTGTAAAATGGAGATAATAGGCTTGTCGTGAGGGTTAATTGTGTGTGTTCATCCCAGTGCCTGGCACGCAGGGACACTCCGTAAATGATAGCTCTCCTGTGTCACCGCCTCTGGGAGAAACTGATAAAAGGCACAAACTTCATCCCAGAAAAATGTGCAAGGGCTAGGAGGGTATCTGCAGACACCTTGTCCGCCCTGCACACACACACCCCAAGCCCATCCACAAGTCCGAGAAGGTCCAGGATGACAGCTCAGCAATTTCTATCACACTGTAAAATTTATCCTTTTTTTTAATGTTTATTTTTGAGAGAGAGAGAGAGAGTGTGTGTGTGTGCTCGCATGCGTGCGCGCCAGTGGGGGAGGGGCAGAGAAAGAGGGAGACAGAATCTGAAGCAGCTCCAGGCTCCGAGCTGTCAGCACAGAGCCCGACGCGGGGCTCAGACCCACGAACCGTGAGACCATGACCTGAGCCGAAGTCGGACGCTTAACCGACTGAGCCCCCCAGACGCCCCTGTAAAATTTATCCTTGATCCAAGAACAACATTTGTAGAAATCTCCCAAAGGAAGTAAGGGCAGGAAAGAGAGGGAAAAAGGGTACCTGCAGGCTGATCGGTCACAACTTTGCAGATAGGCAGCTCCTTCTGGCCAGGAGATACCACTCCAGCTATGAAAATAATAATGTAGTTCTAGTTCTTGACTTCAAATAAACCCAAGATACATTATGATAGTGGGTATAATGAGATACCGTTCTTATAAAATGTATTCGTGTGTGTGCGTGTGTGTGTGCGTGTGTGTGTGTGCGCGCGCGCGCACACGTGCACAGGTGCAGGTGGGCTTCGGCGCCTCCATCTCACCTCCCACTTCCCAGCTGGTGTCCGGGCTCAGGCGGAAGACCCCGGGGCAAACCTTGCCCTGCCCTGAACTGAAACCACCCCCTGGAGCACAAGGAATGCCCTGAGCTCCGGCCCCCGATGGACGCCAGGGCAGGATGGATCTGAGCTCCACCGCCCCCAGCCCGGCCCCGCCCCCTCTGCCCCACCGCCCCTCCTGTGAGCCCGGAACTCGCTCCAGCACTCTGGTGACCAACTCGTTGCTCTGCCTTTGGATTTTGTCTGTGGCGAGTGGCCAGGCCCGGGCTGTTTGGGGCCCCGGAGCCGGGCCCGCTACGTAGGGGCCAAGGGCAGGCCTTTCCAAGGTGGAGAGCAGAGACGTGGAGTTTATTTTGAGTGAGAAGCAATCAAAGCCCAGCGGATTCAGGAAAAGCTCTTACCTCCCCCTCAAGTGCCTAGATTTACATTGGAAAGAAGAGCCTGCCTCAGGAAGAGAGCTACCAACAAAGGTTCCCTTTCACCTGAGAAACTTACTTGCATAACGAGGCAGCCTTGTCGAAATTGTCGAAATTGTCGAAATCTCTGCTGTCCCCTCCCTGCTGATGGTCTTCCTTCCCTCTGTACCCCCGGCCCAACCCCCCTCCTTAGCACTGGGTGTCCCGGACCTTCCTGCGGCCAGACTGTCTTTAAAATAGATTCCTGGGGCGCCTGGGTGGCTTAGTCGGTTAAGCGTCCGACTTTCGCTTAGGTCATGATCTCGCGGTTCGTGGGTTCGAGCCCCGCGTCGGGCTCTGTGCTGACTGCCAGCTCAGAGCCTGGAGCCTGTTTCAGAGTCTGTGACTCCCTCTCTCTCTGACCCTCCCCTGCTCACGCTGTCTCTCTCTCTCTCTCTCTCCTAGAAATAAATAAAAAAAAACATTAAAAAAAAATTTAAAATGGATTCCTGATCTGTACAAAAGTAAATCTGATTTCCTCCTGCTGATGGCTCCTGTCAATGTGATCCTTAGTCCAGCTAGAAGGACCTTGAAGTTCAAAGCAAATTTCTTCCTCCCCAACACACGTGCGTGTGCGTGTGCGCGCGCGTGTGCACGCATACATATGTGTACGTGTGTACATGAAATACACACAGTATGGGAGGAAACTTATTTTCCCGCTCCCCTTCTGAGTTCTTGGCTAATACTGAGAAACAGGTAAAGGAGGAAAGCAAATGCAGGTGTATTAACATATATGCCTCAGGTATACTTGGGAAATACCCAGGAAGTGCCCCAGCCACCACCTTCTACCGAAGACAAAAGAAAAACGTGGAGTGGGGAGGCGGCCAGGTTAGGGAGGTGATCAGGAAAAGCAAGGGAAACAAGATTAGGTCGCTGTGCGGATCTCAGTCTGCGGCTGCCTCCGCTGATAAGTTTCTTGTGATTTAGAACCCTCCTCTTCCATAGCTGAGAGGGAGACCCTCTTACACGTGGAGACCCCTTGGACAGACAACTCCTTACAGAAGGGCAAGCTTCGATTTGGTTTCAGGGCTTCCCCCGATCTGCAGTTCCGCAATAACTGGCGACAGAAGGCAAAGAGGTGTAAGTATTGGAAAGTGGCATAC